CGGGTTTTCCATGGTTGTCTAGCTTCAACTGACGCATGAATTCAACTATAAAAATTACTATTATATCCACAAAACCCCTTCTGATAACAAAATGGATGTATTATATACTGAGCTCTCAATGATTAACAATATAGCTTAACATACGAACCATGTGGTCATAGTTTCCTGAAACAAAAGTGAAGTACATAATAGTTTGCAAATCTTACAAACATTCAAAACTTTCTCAAAACATCGATTAAATAAATCACAGTACATTTAATTACTCAACACTTATGTATGAGCAACATTTCAATGAATAAAATCATTTTACAATGTATGGGTTAAATTCTTGTCAAATCACATTGTGCGAAAAGAAATAGCAAATTACATAAAGTTTGATCTTCAAAACATGCCGTTTGCCCAAAGTTGCTTGAGATGAACGCAGCGACTATGGTTATAATACGCGCCATAATTTCCAATACAAGAAACCATAATAAACGTTTTCCAACAGATGCTCCTATTAATGTAAATATGACAAGCGATACCAATGCAACATCCCATGCCGTAAGTTGCCATTCATTTTCCAAACTCGTGAAAAGAAGTACAACCATCAAGGATGTAAATATTGCCTAAAAACAAGATGCAAGTTATTTTGTGAATACAATGGTTCTAGATATAGTGAACCATTTTCTACAAACTGAAAATGTGTCACCATACTTCTAGGTTGTGCCTGAAATACATAGTTTTTACAATCATAAAAAGCACCTATTCAAATGAACCATGAAGTATCATTAAAGTCAGTATCTCAACAAATTCGATTATTGTGAAAATTCCCATTTTGACATTCGTTCCTTCTTTAATCCGATTATTATTCATTTTTTGTAAAATTGTGAAAATTAGGTAGCCTTTAATATCGCGATCTATTACAAAATTAAAATGTTAGAACCAAAGTAAACCTCTTACAAAATGATACAGAAATAAGTGTTAATACTTTAGTATGTAAAGTCCCAAGGATGTAAGTGAATTCCAAAAACATCCACCCTTTATAATTTGAGATTTACATAGAACGTAGGCTAGATGCTAATAATTGTGTATAGTTATGAGATTACAATACTACGTAAATGAGTGTAAGTTGTTTTAAAGCATAATGCTACGTATCATTGACTTATGTAAAACATCAAAAGAACAATATTGACTGGATACATTCGTCTTATAGTTTGCGAAATCAACAGCATTATTATTATCCCATTGTTTAAAGATTTTAGAAGAATTATAAAAATGCATCGGTGACTTAGTCTGATATATTTCAGTAAAACAATAAGGTGGTCAATATGTACAAGAAAATATATTATATGAACTTAAATCAATCAGCGTCTCACATATCTCGGTTTCATACTAACCTTCAAAGTTATTCTCAGATAACTAAAACAAATCATTTTGCTGACAAGTATGGAATATGATTTGTACACTTGTTTAAGATAACTACACATTTACCGATCTACTGATCATGACAGATCATGATTTTCTCAAGGACTACACTTAATATTAAAATATATCACTTTACACTACGCATTTACGTAACAAATTTACTCAGTTCATGTTTAGTAAATTGACCATTAAGTTAGAGCAGGATTATAGTAAATTTTATCTACTTATCTTTTCTTCAAAGTTTGATCATTTTAAAAGTGATTGGACAAATGTTAGATAATTTGAACAAGCATTATTTACACTATTTATAGTGTAGTGTATCAAAGTACAGGATGATAACACTTTATTCAATCATCTAGTTAATCTTTTGACAGATAGTGAGCTTGATAAGAATAGTAGCAACAATAAATGATAATGTTCGTTTAAAATATTCTTAAACTTATATCAATAGGATTACAATTATCAAGAGAAGTATACTTGTATCCTTCATTCTATTTGTAGATGGATAATATTATCTAGTGAACTTGAATTGCTGACAAACCAAGTGTGATTCCCATTGTTAGAATTATTTAAAATCCAAGAAATAATAGTACCTGAATTAATTGGATTTCCCGTGTTTTGTACGTATTTGTTTCCAATACATAGAAGCGCATGGTGAAAAGTGATTCTTCATTAATTTGAGATTTGTTTTGTGTTGTGCATAAAACATATTTTGTAGACAATACTTAAGTTCTAATAAATTCACAAAAATGTTCTCTTGTTTTGTTCATATATTTCAATATAAGTGAAAAGATTGGGCTCGTCGGTTAAATGTAACTGTACTCCTGCGTCAATGTTCACTCAAGGACTTGAATTCAGTGCCACTTACTTCAAATGGGTATTTATAGTTTTTAGTAAAAATGAAATCATCATTACAATCATCCGATTCGAGTGAAGTAGTTTTTAGCATTTGTTTAATCGAGAAACTACACATTGAGACGTTTCTCCAAATGATGATTGGATAGAATGTTTTCAGCTCTTGTAGAGCTTCTTAAAGCGTCCTTGAGTTCACCAGGAGCCATTTCCACGTAATCAAAAATATGAAGCAGTCGACAGTTACTTTTTTCTGTTCTAGGGCTCTTCAAATGAGCTAACACGAGATTGAGATAATGTAGATTCTGTTCAAGAAAAGGGCACTTATTTCTGACGCTATATCAAACTTATATTTCAGAAAACCATATAGTTGAGTTAGCCTAGAGAAGTATATTTTTAATTTTTAAGGGTGAAAAACTGGAAAATAAAGAAGCAAGATTCAGTAATTCTGTTCAATCTTGTAAGTGTAATTTCAAGTCATGTAGTCAAAGCCTACCTCCATATTTATTATAGAATTCATCATGTATTTATATTTGTCTATACATTTGTAAGGCAAGGTGACACTTTCTGTTATATGAGTAGATTTAATGGTTTTGAGTAGATCGTAATGATTTCTGTGATCAAGCATTTGAGAAAAAAGGTCTATATTCACTCAGTACATGTATGTTGAAACCATATGTTTATTTATATTGTATACATAACGACAGTCAGGTCAGTGGATGTAACTCATGTAATGATCAGTAAATATTACCTATAGTCAGTGAGTTATTAGAATGATGAGATATGAGAATGGTCGATGATGGATGAGCCAATGAACATGAATCATTTATCGACTAGGTAGATGCATATGAAGCTCGCGTTATAGATATGAGATATTTGTGGGATAAAAAAACATTTTACTTTCTCAATAGTTTCGTCACAATCTTCATTTTTAAACAAAATAAAGCCTTCTTTAATAAAATCGGCAAATACTCATGAGGTGATGAGCATGACGTATATATGACCAACCTAATCAGAACAACTATTAATCCTTCTGATGATCAGATTATACTCCCACCCAGCATTTTCAACAGATGAGTGGTGACACAACTACACCCCTAACATTATGAAATAAATAAACTTTTATCACTGAAATCGAATCATTTAAAAACTAATATGCGGCAGTACTTCATAAGTACATACATATGTATATGTATACATTGTGAATGAATTCAAATGGTTGATGAAGATGTTATTTGTACAACCAGTTAATGTTCGCGAAAAAACATTCGATTTACTAAGGAATTATTCAAGATCAAACTCTTAACTGTGATCAACAAAACACACTTCTCGTCAATAGTTTGTGTAAATTTCAATAACGCTTGTCATATAAAAGGTGACTTATCACCAGAATAAACATATTTTCGTTGATATTGTGTTACATTTAATAGTATTTTAATAATCTGGTAATTAAACAAGATAACTAACTAACATGTACAGCTATTAGTATGTCTACCGTGTTGCGAATTGACATCTACTTAATTTGAAACTTTTTTATTTAAACTGAGTGGGATGTACTACATGACCTGCAGATATCTTGTCAAACTTTCAGTGTGTTGGTAAGTGCACAGACAAGGACAATTATTTCTTGAAATTTTGCGTAATAAATTTATCATGAAGATAATGTCAAGATAATAAATGCTAATCAAACTTTTTGGCAAATGTTATTTAGACATTTATGAAACTTCAGGTTTGAGCAGAACTAGCCATTTAAAAAAATCCTATAAATTGACTCAACACCAATGTGGTTATGCATGTTAAGGTCGTTAAACAGTTATCATCATACGTGTAGGCACTATAATAGTTAGTAAGTGTTGAGATATTGCTAATTTTGTAAAAGGTAGTCAGTAAATATTACTCATAGCTAACTGACTCATTCTTATTACTGTACCTGTACTAAAGTTATTCTAAAAAATAAGAGCGCTTCTACGTGAAATCGTATTCTGGGTTCACAATTGTAGCTACTGAAAATGATAAGACCATCAAACGATATATTCCTACTTCCTGAAATCAAAAGTCATTTGATCCCATTCAGGTACATCCAGCTCCTATGTTCAAGACAGGACGAAACGCGTGTCCTACATTTTACTACTAGCCACATCTGATCTCTTTTACATCAAGAGTAGTTTAAATTATTTTTGATAAACATTAATATTGTCAGTAAGAAGTTTTTGAGATTGTCAAATTGCATTGAAGTCATGAGTTAATCTAATTTGAACCACTATTGAAAAACTGGAAGCACTTGACGGTCGTTTCGTCCTAGTATAAGACTCCCATTATAGTCTTATAAAGGTCAGCTCGCGATTCAAAATTTGTGGCAGTTTTAGAATCGAATTTTCTTGTTGCATGTCCAAAAGATTACATTCACTTCAGTTCTATGATCTCCACAAAACATGCATTCACGACCTCACATGCAGGAATGAACCTATGATTTTCTGTCGTGCTTGTGGACGCTTAAACTCATATCATTGAGCCATTATCCAAAAGTACTGACGTCCAATTTTAATCAGTTCACGATATCATGCGACTATCTCTCATGGTCTTCAGTGGGGAACTGGTCTACACACGATATGGTTTATCTCCACTGGTCATGACTTCTCAACAGAATGTGAAAGTTTCCTATCGAACCATGTTACTAATGAGGACATGAAGATTATATATATATATATATATATATATATATATATATATATATATATATATATATATATAACCATTAAGTCGTATAGTAAAATCTGAATAATGTTTCTAATATAACGATAGCATTCTATTAGATCTCAACACTTCGAATGAAACTTGTCTGTAATTATTGGTTTGTGTTTCATTGAGTGTGTTGTTCGTGAAATATTGAAAATTTTGAACGGCTGTTAACCAATCCATCATCAATACGGTGTACAAAATCAATGCAGCTAAACAGTAATCATCACCGGCAATTCGAACGTCATGTCTACCAAATGTTGCCTGTCCTACACTCAGCATTAACTGTAAGAAAATGCAAGATTTATTTTATTATGAAATAGTTTCATATAAATATATAAGTATGCAAAATATTTCTTCCCCTAAGTTGCATTTTTGATAAAGTTATGTCTGGATGAAAATATTTCAAATCATGCAGAAAGAAACGAATGACTGAACGGTCTATCTGGTATAACGTGTAACAGACAACTGTACACTACTAGTTTGAGTTATCTCGTAACATGTTGATTAAAATTTTTTATACTACTTAAGTCTGTCATCGACTCACTATCGTAGAAATACGACTCAATTTGGATGTGAGTTACATGAGACTCGTCGAATATTATTTCTTTGATAGATAAATCATTTTATTGAATTTCGGCAATGTCACTTTATCATTCAGGTAAAATCAATACAGAGTGATATACATAATTTCAATAACTCAAATATCTATATATTACGACTGGGACCAGATGAAATTAACAAGATGAGCATCACAATGCTTAAATGATACAAGCAATGACGAAAATGAGATATTTTGTACGTCAAATATACGGTTCGAAGATATATTATATAATTGTAAATAAACTATCAAATGTACAAACTAACATGAATCTACGCCAGTGTGACTGCTTTGAATAAATTTCACTTAACCACTCGCCGATTATTAACCACATTTATTGTCTGAACCGAAAAATGTTGATCCATAAAGATTATTGAACTAGGCCCTTAACTTGTATAGAACAAACTGCCGAAACGCAGTGTCACAGAATCCTTATTTTACCATCTGTGGACACGTGGTCAAGGATCTAACTAAAGGAACACGTTTGTAAGTAGTTGATGATAAATCAATGAAATACAATGAATTCATTGTATTCTTAAAATAATGTTCTTTCTTAAGTTAAAGTTGAGTAAGAAAGTAACTGCATGGATTTTGAATTGTATCTTTTTGAAAGAAACTAATTAAAAAATCCTCTAATTACCGACCACAATCTAAGCTAATGCTTAAGTACTTATTACACGTTAGAATAAGTGAAGAATCGAATGTATGGTGAACTTCACGATTGCAATATCGGACAAATTTTATTTGATGCCTTCTGTAAATATACTCTCTAAACAAAAATCTATATTCAATCGGATTATGTTGTAATGGACATACACTTGTCCGTGTTATTAAATTATGCCATTTAATATATTGAAACATTTCACTGAGGATATCTGCTTAATGTCAGGCCAAAACGTCTTTTATTATATGAGAGTTCTGATGAGCATGAAATGCTTGTCTTTTAATTCATTAAGGCGATATTAAATATCTTATATATCTTACCTCAGCCGACTTTCATTAACTAAAGTTTCTAAGTTCGATTATCGGTGATGTCATTGATTTGCGTAGCTGAAGAGTCCTATATGGTGTAAATCCTTTTTGCTTTCTTCATTTATCTAAGTGAGCTCAATTAGTAATGTGAACTCTAAAATAATTCATGTTTCAATAATTTACAAAACAGATTACAGAAAAACATCTGTGATATTATGAAAAACGTGAAAATACATAATACAACAATGGAGATATTGTGAATTCAACTTACTATGATTAAAAACATAGCTGAATATACAGCACAAACGATCATTATGATCTGAAAAGAACGTTATATGGATAATACGATACAACACTTGATAATTCAGATGTATATACATCTAATTTGAGTGTTGTGTAGATATGTAGATATGGTATTACTTTTCCGAAATTCTACTTTGAGCGTCAGCTAATAAAAACAATCTGCATCATCAAAGTTATATTTTTTTAAATCACACCATTTAAAACGAAATGGTAAGTTCTGTATAAGTGAGCGCATAAAATCTTCGTACCTAATATATATATATATATATATATATATATATGAAATATTATGAAAAAAATTACCCAAAATCTTTAACCACAGTTAGCTTTTCAAAACATACCCTTATTTGTAAATATCTTGAGACAAATACAGCAACTATGATAACAATAAACGCTGCGGTGTAGATTACAATAAACCATAAATTTGTATATAATAAACGTATTCGAATAGATGCTCCTAATAATGTAAATACTACAAACGATAACAAAGTAACTGCCCATGCTATAAGTTGCCATTTAATTTCCAAACTTGTGAATGGAAGAGCAACCATCATTGAAGTAAGTACCGTCTAAGACATAGAAAAAAGTCAAGAGTTGAATATATTTAATAATAATTGAAGCCAACCATTTGTACAATTTCATATTTCTTTGTAATATCCTTAAACTTACTTAGAACCATATGGTTTTTTTAATAATTAAATCAGTTTATAGCGAATTAATCAGTAGATTAATCTGATATACGATCTTTAAAACTGTAAATAATGTCACAATTATCAAACTCTCAATATCGAGATCTAACACAAGTAAGAACTAAAATTAGAGTCTCTGAAGAGGATTAAAATGTGTATGTTGAAACGTCTAAGTGAATTTTATAAGCAAAGATGGATAGTGGCTAGCAACGGAATCCAGGACACGCGTTTCGTCTTATTTGGGACTCATCAGCTTGATGTACCTGAATCTCATAGTTGATCAATTGCAGTCTTAAACCTCAATGGGAATGTACAAGCAAAACAATACCAAGTGAATTTAAATTCACCCCATTGCACAAGCAAGTTGCTATCAGGACTCAGTAGCTGAGTAGATAACGCGATGGCGTTTCAAGCGAATGGTACTGTTTTTGAGTCCCAGAGTGAACATCAACTCTGAGATGCAGGCACATGCAGCTAACGAGTCCCAAATAGGACAAAACGCGTGTCCTGGATTCCATTACTAGCCACTATCCATCTTTGCTTATAAAAGCTTGTGAATTAAGGCAATATCGAGGCATACGCACAGTATTCACATATGCCAATGACAGACTGATCATTTGCAGTCTTAGACCTCAATAGGAAGATACAAGCAAAACAATACCAAGTGAATCTAAGTGAATTTGTAGCATGTAGTGTAACCAGAAAGTGTGTGAATTTGAAAGACCTTTATTCCTTCTAGAATATTCACCTTTATCAATAAAGGTGATGTGAATATAAATGAATTTTTTCATTAGCGGACTATAGAATTAAGCGGATGAGGAAGTTTGTTATAACTCGAAAACGGCATATCATAGACTTACATATAACATCAAAAGGACAATATTTACTGGATACTTTTTTTGCACTGTTGTTGAAACCAAAAGCAACACTAATATCCCATCATTTAATATTCTGAAAAGAATCATGAAAATACGTCATTAACTCAACCTGATGCATTTCGGTAAATCTATGAGGTGGTTGATGTACTTAAACTTCATTTGCAAGTTTACAAAAATATAACACTGACTGAAATCATTTACTATCATACATATTTCAGTTTCAAGACAATCTTTAATAGTAACCATAAATAACAAACAGAAACCAATGTTTCTACTCATTGATGATATTGAGAGTGTTCACCTTATTCAAAGAGTCATGTTTCAAATTACTGAAAAATATTGGTTTTTGTATTTGTTTGCGCAATGCATTGAGGAACATTACACAGGACAGGAGTGACAATAAAATAAATAATGTTGTTAGTTCGAAGAATTCACTAAAGAAAATAAACTTACGCCAGCACCGTCTCAACAAGTATTAGGACTAAAGTCATGTATGGTTTATCATTTATTCTGTTAATAGGTGATAAATTTAATTTTATGTACTTGATTACCGTCAAACCAAGTGTTATTCCGATTGATAGGACTATTTGAATTCCAAAAAGAACCAGTACCTGAAACATTTCGATTTCCGGTGCTTTGCGCTCACTTGTTTCCAATATCTTGGATCGTATGGAAAAAGTTCCTTATTCTCTGCGTTGAGCCTTTGTGAAAATTATGCAAATCCAGACAAACGTTATATCACTGTTACCTCGTTTTGTTCATCTATTATAATTTCAGCGAAAAGATTGTAGTTTTAGAAAGATAATTATTGATAAAATACTATTAGTTTTTATTTAGTATGTTACGAATATGAGACACTACCCTTTAAATCTTTCAGAATAATTTGAAAAGTAAAATAAATGACAGAACAAAATAACGTGTAACAGTGAAATTATTTTATGATGATACAGGAAATCAGGTAAGGGAACATCACATTAAGTGGTTGGAAAACGGTAAGACGAATACATACCTATATCTTATCACGTCTGGTTGTTATGTATTAGCTATGAATTGGGTATTGTAATGTATGAGGTAAAACGAAGTCAGTTCAGCTAATCTACCATAACTTTTTGCCATTTCTGATCGTCGTTAAATGTAGTCTCATGCCTGTAGTAGAGTGTATAGAGGTTTGGATATACAGTCCTTGTCTATTTGTTCTGATGAAATTTATTTCACGTCTGTCCACTTCTAGGCAGAATAAGGCTTGACAAATGGTTTTATCAATTATAGTTGTTGCTATCATATGCCATTCCCTTTTGCTTTAGCTTTGTGATTCTTCACTATCTCAATATTTTTATTCTTTTTACTAAGTAACTCCGCCTGGAGCCCTTCTAGGGCTACTGCCTATCTCAAGCCCTGATAAAGGAGGAGAGTCGTACATGAGGTTAGTAACACTATCCCGTAGAAAACTAAATCCATGAAAAACGCTGGCCAGAGAAAATAATTCAAAACATTTAAACACTGCTCTGGGAGTTAGAAGGTCTTCATTTAGAAGAGTTATGTCGCCTCATGGTGAAAGCCGAGTTCCTTCTGAAGTCACGCGTATGATGACCCTTATGACAACCAGATCAACCATTATTTTAGGTACATGGGATGCTTGTACAATGTGGGAGACCGGGAGAGTCTTCCAAATTGCTGCAGAAATGAAGAAATACAACCTGGAGGTACTCGAACCCAGACATGTGAAGAATGAACAACATTTGGATAGAAGTAGAAAGGAAGACCCAGAACAGAGTGGGTTGGAGAATGCTGGTCGGTGGCCTATGCTCCATTAGGAGTAACAGGCGTATTACGTAATTTTAATCATTTTTAATCAACATTATTCCAATGTCTATTTTTTTCAAGTCTCTGACCTAGTTCCTATGCTAAGAAATCAAATTAAGCTCATTTTATTTTTATCACTATTCATTTTTACTTTATACTTATGTCTAGTTATGTAATCTGTTTCATTTTCATCACTGACTTCCTAACTGCCTCAATTGCTTTAATATTTTTTCTTTATGCATATGAATATTGCTGTAAACTAAAGACTGATCTGATTCAAAAAAGTGTTGTTAATAAATATGAGCTATCCCCAAAATTGTTGTTAACACAACGTTGTAGAACAATGGCTCAGTAAAAGATTCGATGACACAATACATATGTAATAAGGAGTTATTGATTGTTGAGGAATGCTTCTTTTGTGAAATGTTAAAAATACGAATATTATTTCACATTAAAACATTAAGGGGAAATATACTTACTTGGAATTGAGTCTGTAAAGCTCATGCCAGAATTCATATATTTATATCCTGAGGTATATGTTTACGTAAACAATGAAAACTTTGATTAGTCAAAAATATTGAACGATTTATAACACACACTTATCAATGGTGGTTTATACATTTCTATGACTAAATGTTAAATATCAAAGTACCTTTGTTTCTAGAGTAACGGAGCATAGACAAAACTTAATTTTTATAAGTTTTTGATAGTATGTGTGTATTTCGAATAAAGTGCATTTCACAAACTTTTTGAAGTGGTTTCACAATAAATGATAAAATTTTTACACGTACTAAATATACACAGATCACATGTTGATGTTCTATCAGGTAATGAATTACTGATAGCTCACAAGGTACAAGGTAACTCCTTTGAAACTCTTAGTTGCTATTTTAATGTTAAAACCCACAATATTATGACATCAAATTGAATATCCTTTTCGCAAAGCATTAATTTCAATTGTTAACACTTCATCTTACGCTCAGTTTTTTTGAAATCAAGAAGTCAAACGCCTGTAAAAATAAACGTAAACTTTGTGATTTACAAACCTGATGTTGCATAATATAATTTTTCACTTTGAACTACTAAATATTTATTGGTGCTTACTCAGCAATAGGACTTTAAACTTAGTAGAATCTTTTAGTTTTTTTTTGAAAAATTTAGTAGTTGAATTCATGAGTCAATTGAAGCTAGACCACCATGGGAAACCTAGAAATAATGGACGGCTGTTTCGTCCTAGTATAGGACTTCAGAGCAGTGGGCATCCACTATCCCGCCTCCCGACCTATCGGTGTCGTGAGCGTTTTTATTAGCATACAAAGGAAAACTGTTGTAAATTGTTTATCACGTTTTTGACCCTTTAATTTACCTTTTTTCGATGTAATAATTTTGATAAATCTAGTCAACGAACCTAATTCTAGACTAATGTTTGCACTAAATGCACCTACGCAATTAAATATTTATGCACTGAATCGGATGTGTTAACTTACAGTAAGTAGTTAAATTTAGAATTATGTTTAAGTTTCTTTTTATTAAACTTGTTCAAGTTTACTTCACATATTTTCTTTAATTAATGTGACTCTGTAAACTGAAAAGTTTTTCTAGAGATAGTGTTTTACTGGTAACAAATGTATTATCAACATATTAGAGTAAAAGGCGTTTCTATTCGGAACATAAATAAAATATATAAGAAAATGAATTTTCTACTTATTTCTATAACTCCTCCCGAACCACCTCTGTGGCTACTGCCGATCCCGATCCCGGATAAAGGACAAGGGTTGGGCATGAGGTTAATAACTCTATCCCGTAGAAAACTAACTCCATGAAAAACGCTAGCCAGAGAAAATAATTCAAAACATTTAAACACTGCTCTGGGAGTTAGGAGGTATTCATTTAGAAGAGTTGTGTCGCCTCATGGTGAAAGCCGAGTTCCTTCGGAGGTTACGAGTCTGATCATGTACAATGAATAATGTATATCAAAGACTTGTATAAAAATAAAATTGCAACATTTGCCGGAACTTTTTAAAGTAACGTTACCATAACCATGAGTAAGACTACGAATTATATATTTAATACACTGAAACAAAAAAACATCAGTAACATAGCCTGATATCTAGTAAAATGATATTCTATCTCATTTCATCGAGTATCACTTCGAGTTTTTAAAAAAAATATTCAAAATTACAGTTAAATATTAACTAGTAGATATACGCTTAATTTCCTAACAAAATAGCCAATTGAGATATGTGATCATAACAACGTTGATGATTATCAACTACTATTTTGATTCAATCTTCGTTTGCTGAACAGTCATGTTTACTTTCAACGGCACTTCATGATACACCTGATACGTATTTCTAAATGATACGCTTAAAACATAAACCTGCTGAGGTAAAAATGAGAAAAAAATGTTAGACATCACCAACTTGCCCTTGTAATGAAGATCAGTGCAGAAATGTATTATAAAGTAAATCACTTGTGTTTAATTCATCCATAGAATGTTTCAAACGATTACATGATATTATTTTAGTGAATCATTGAGATAAGATAACAAATTGTACCATTAACAGTGATATTCATGACATTAATGACAAATAGTCTTTTTAACATTTATTAAAAGAGAAACCTGTATAAAACAATCTCGAATTGGAATATATAATTTATATGAACTGTTATTTGTTTGTAAATATAATCTGCTAAAAAGTAGTAATTATAATTTGTGAACTTATATTGGTGAGTTATCCCAGTCCATAAAACTGCTTACAATTCAAAGATAATGATTATTGAACGTACGTCTCTTTCAGCTGATCAATCACCCGTTGACAAAATCTAATTTTATCCAGAAAACCAATCTCTTTTTAAAAAATTCTGCACTTTTTTTTTCTCGTTTTTGTTTCAAACATACTTTGTGAGGAACATAGATGTACATAGATGACAAATAAATACTTACTTCATTCGTTCACTTTATTACCAAATTCAGAACGGTAGATTTATAGGCATCACTGTTAAAGAAAGAAACTATTAATTCTATTAGAATACTTGAACTGAATATTTATAATATTCATGATATTATTTCTTTAGATTTTTATTAAAATTTCTAAATAACAAATGAAATAGTTTAAATATTTAGATATTGAGAGGTTTATTTCTGTAAAAGATAAAACTTTAATCAGTTCAATCCAATAAATGAATTATCACATACAACTACCGATAGTAGTTCATATTATTGTACGATTAAACTTTGAACAATAAACATAAAGATATGCTTAGAGTAATAGAAAATGAGAATATTTTACGTTTACATTCTTTTGGATTTCATGATCATATTTTAAATCATATTCATTTCATTGACTTGCGAAATTCTTCAAACAGTTTTTTTGATCATTTATCATATCATATCATTTATCAAATTATTTTAAATGGAAGGTTATAATCATACACGAACAAAGGCAGATGAAAACAACTAGTGTAGCAGCAGCATCTGTATCTGTAGGCCTCAACATACACAAAGAAAAAACCAAGATCCTCAAATAAAACACGGAGAACACCGACCGAATCACAATTAATGGCAAAACTCTGGAAGATGTGAAATCTTCCACGTACCTGGGAAGTATCATCGACGAACAAGGAGGATCGGATGCAGACGTAAAGGCGAGGATTGGTAAAGCAAGGGTCGCATTCCTACCATTGAAGAACATATGGAACTCAAACAACTGTCTGTAAAGCAATATCAAAGTAGGGATCTTCAATACAAATGTCAAGACAGTTCTAGTTCTGTTATGCAGAGCTGAAACTTGGAGAACTACTACAACCATCATCAAGAAGGTGCAAGTATTTATAAACAGTTGTCTACGCAATATGCTCAACATCCATTGACCGGATACTATCAGCAACAGCCTACTATGAGAGAGAACAAACCAGCTTCCGGCTGAAGAGGAAATTAGGAAAAGACAATGGAAGTGGATAGAACATACATTACGGAAATCACCAAAGTGCACCACTAGGCAAGCGCTAACTTGGAATCTTGAAGTGAAACGGAAAAGAGAAAGGCCAAAGAACACATTAAGTCGGGAAATAGACCGGATATGAAAAGGATGAATAACAACTAGAAAGAACTGGAAAGGATTGCCCACGACAGAGATGGATGGAGAATGCTGGTGGACGGCCTATGCTCCTCCACGAGGAGTAATAGGCGTAAGTAAGTAAGTAAACTTACAATCAACACGTCACATATAAATATGTCGTTCTATAATTAATTGTTGACGAATAACATTTAATTTCATTGTTCCTGAATAATGCCTTTGAATAAATCTTCAGTGACAAAAAGGTACTAAAACATATTACTATAACTAACAGTCGTTTCAGAACATTTAAAATATTCAACAGAAATTATTAGAAAATAAACTTCTAAATTGACACAGTGACCATTTGCGAAACATTCTGTACACAAAATAATATTCAGTCTATTTTAGAATAATGATTGAATTTTTCATTCGTATTTAATATTAACACTGAAATCTTCAAAAAAATTCAATTTAGTGAAAAAGCATTGAGATGTCAATAGTGTGTGAATTTTGATTGAAAAACAATGAAATTTAAACTCAGCAAAATATTTTAAACTGTCAACTGATCGTTGATTCCAATAGTTCGAAATACTTCAATGATTTAGTTGAAAATACCGAAAACATTCTCATATTAGTAAGCCTATAAAGCTAATTTAGGTTTTATGATTATGTAATACACCTGAATATTAAATTTTCAAAACTCACTATATATCAAATTAACGTTGCTTGAAATCGGTAACTTATCTCTAATACTTTGTTTGTAAACAGAGATCTTGAATATAAATTCAATTCTCTAATCACGCAAAAAATAAATGTTTAAATTTTTGAATATTGATTAATGCCTTTAGTGATTTAAAGGATAATTATACTTCAATAAACCAAGCACGACGTTTACCGATGGGAATGTAGTTTACTAGCTAAATCATTTTTTTTCCAGAGTCAATGGTGGGTATAAGTTGCATTCACTTTTAGATGGCCACATGAATATGTTTTTGGGTTTGCTAAACGTCCATCACTAGTTTATTTAAAGAGTTTCTAGAATGAATAAAATTAAGGACACGGTGTTAATAACAGCAGATATCTTGTGATCCATCATTTAATTATGTTAAAACTGTAATCAAATTTGAGTATTGAATGAGAAAAATAGTTGCAAAACAGTGACAAAGTTGACAAAATAAACATCCATCAAAATACTTATACGATGTGAAAGACATATTATCAAACTCGATCTATCATCAAATGTCTAAGAGTTTATCATAAAATTTTGTTATAGTGTTATGCTTTATCAGTCACTGTTAATTCTTCTTTGAATCTATGACATCACAAATTTTGAAATTTTTCTGACAGTAGATTAAAAGAACGTATTATTGTTTTGATGATATTTTCAACTTTTAATTCCATGATACTTAGTGGAAAGCCAGTGATAAGAAAACATCTATATTTTTACCTTACTAAAATTAAAACAAACTCGTCAATTTTGCTGAAGCAATGAAACACAAAACGTTTCGATGAAGCATCATTCACATTCATTATAGCGATAGAGCCAACTTAATATTCCAATAAATGATGTAAATATGAGATTAGTG